GTGCAAAATATACAGCAGGGCATTTTTCCAGGGAAACGTCATACCAATGCATCGATATCTGCAACAGTAACCTGCTCATCTCGGGATAGTGTTCAAGGTGTTGATTTTCAGCCATACAGACTGAAATGTGTGAAATCATTTATCTCTGAGATACTATCTCACCCGTTGTGTAGACAGCAGAGGTTCTGTAGTTGGATTTCCCTCTTTATAGAAAAAGGGAATTGTTGGCAGGTTGTTCAGTGTAAAGACATCAAGACTCAAGATCCTACTATCTCAGCTTGGCTCCAATATATTGGAATTTGGCAACTTTTTGATGAAAAGACATCTGTTTGAGAGTTTTCTTGGAGAGAGCTAAGGATATTTTTGCTAATTGATGAAAGTGATACATGAATTGCTATGGGACTGGTTATTTGAATGCTGATGAGATTTTATTTTATCGCAAATTTATGTCAAGTTAAAAATCAGGCAAGCCAGTTGGCCAGAGCTTTGTGACAGTGACAGCCTCCAAAGTGGGACTTGACATAGTGGAAATAGGGTAGAAATTAAAGCGGAGCTGGCTGAACCACCCTGCTCTACAGTGCTCTTGGGAGCAAAAGGCATTGGGAAAGTCTTCTATTCCAGTGCAGAAATTAGATACACAGTTCTGTGAAGAAAACGATTGCACAAGTTCCAGGCTGCTTAAGTTGCTGTGGAAAGACACTTCAAAGAACATTGCACAGTTGTTTAACTATTTGATTGGACTTCCAGTAGCACGTGCTGACTAGTGTAATACAAGCTTGCGAGCTATTCCTTTCCAGTCCTGACCTCAGCTTGCAGAGTCTCCCCAACTCATATTTTTCATTTTTCATTCTTCTTTAGTATTTTGCTTTACTTCTTTCATTTTTTTTTTTTTTAAATTCCCTTGGCACACTGAAAAACAGGAAATAACAATAAGAAGTTGTGGAACAAGATTTACTGCCATCCCATTTTCTTGTGTTCTGCTGCTAGTTTCTTGCACTGCATATATCCTACAATTGCATTTCTTCAATTTAGGTTGTAGAAATTCCAGGCAGCATCTGATATTCACTTGGGGTTTATAAAATGCTTACAAATGTATCTAATGCTAATTAAATCCAAAGCTTAAAATACTAGAACAATATCTTATATGACTGAAGATCCAAGAGCCCCAGGGATTGAAAAATATGTTATTATTTATTGAAATAAAAAAAATTACTTGGAACAGCTACCTGCAGCCTGTGCCTTGAGAGGTGATTCACAGTTGTGTGGTTACAGAGGGACTTTCATTTCCAC